GTATGGATTTCACTGAGCAACTACTTTTTAAGATTATGATACAGTGTCATAACTATTATTCTATTATTTCTTATGAAAATTGCTTATTTTTCTTAAAAGAAACGATACATAATAAAATAAAAATTTTCACATATATACCCAATAATATCATGTCACTTTTAATTTAAAATTTAGTTAGCTTAAAATTTCTTTCCTATACATCTTCAAGGCTGTCGACTGAGTTTCATTCCATCATAAGCCATTTTTTCTAACAAATTTTTGCCTAACTTTCTCTGGATTTTTGTTTCTTCAAGATAGGAAATGAAAATTTTCATCACACCTTTTTCTGGTTTTATTTTGTTTCTTTGACATGTGTGAATACATAATGGAAATCTATAAATATAATTGAGGCAGGTGTACTAGTGATAAGGAATCATTTGCTTGAAAAAGTAAGATGGTGTGTCACTGCACCCTTTATTCAGATTCACAGTGAGAACCAGGAGCACAAAACAGAGTAGAGATGTTTAAAAACTTCAGGTTTGTCCAGAACAAAAGCACAAGTAAGGCTGGGACTAAATAATACTTTCTAAAGAGATCAACACTGTTACAGAGACAAGTGTGTATTTTTACTGTAACAATAGTAATGATACCTTGAGGTTATCCAAGGAATCAGCAAGATCTCACCAACTGCAACCTCAATGTTCAAAATGTGTACAGCTTTTTATATGAGGAAAGAGTCAATAGGTCCCCCTGCCAGAGAAAGACCATCTAGGGAATTGGTTTCCCAAGATTCATTTCAATCTGCTCATCCATCGTGGCATTTAGAGGCTATTGCAGCAATGGTCTAAAACGGCTCAACTACTGCTGGAGTTGGCAGCAGAACTTGTCATTGTCCATGTGATTGTGGTTACACAAGCATGCAAAATGCAAGAGTTTTGGGATCATGGAGGCTTCCATTTGGATTTCTGAGGAAGGCCTGGCAGGCCAGGAAATGTACTGCTGGTCAGAGTTCCCTTTTGGAGTCAGTAGAAACATGATGCTTGAAGCTGTGACAGTGAATCCAAAGCTTCAGTGGACAGCCTAGGAAATGGAGATGCCAACAACATGGAACATTTCTCAGAAAAGGTCATAGGTAGTGGGTGGAACTATCACAAGAGAGATCATGTGGCCTGCACATAGCAAAGCCGTAGGGAACAAGCTGCACAACTCTCCAGAACTCACATCTCTTCACCATGTGTCCAGATGCTACAAATGGTGCCACATAAGTTAATGTTTGCCCTGCTGACTTATTTTCTTGTTTTGGTTTGAATTTTTCCTGTCCTTTCATTCCTTCTTGGTAAGCATGAGAATTTTTACCTTCTGGTAATGTTTTTGGATTATGTATATTAGTTTCTTACTTTTACAAGGATTCATAGTTGAGTTGCCTTGAGTTCTAAAAAAAATTAAGACTTGCAGTTTTTAGCAACATTTGAATAATTGAGGCTTTAAGACAGAGATTAGTACATTTTTATTGTAACAAAATAGTTTCATCATATTAGGCAGAAGTATTCCTTGATTATTGTATTTATTTGGAGATAAACATGGCTTGATGAGATGTGATAGAATGCAAGTTGACAAGGGGTATATGTTTGCCTGTTAGTCTTGTCTAGCAACTTGAATGAAATTGAGACTTGTGTGGAAGTGATGGGAAGGTGAAGGCACACACTGCACTGGTGGGTTCAAAGTGAAATAAGCTACTAGGAGGTGGTACCTAGGTGGAGTGAGTAGGCCATGAGGGCCAGAGAGGAAGAGGTAAGGACCAGATATAGAGACCAAAGTTATGGCTCCATAGTCTCCCTTCCAGGCACACATAGAAGTGTGCTTTACTAATTTTGTGGGTAACTCCCAAGACATTCGGGTTGACAATTAATCTTCCCCATCACTGACTATATATAGTCAAGTGAGAACTCAAGATCAGTCATAACGTAGAGTTGGTATGTGGTACTTGGTAAATCAATGATTAGTAAAAGCAAATATCTCTGATTTGCCACTATTAAAGTAACGCTACAAGAAAATCCTTTTGGTACATGCTTAGGCACTTATGAATCTCCTAAAGTGATGCTGGCAAATTAAGTTCCATCTCTTTTTGAAGTTTTGATGCATACTGACAAATTATCTTCTCCAGTGGAATCAATC